CATGCTATTACCAGAAATTTCATACACTAGAAAGGTGTGCCTAGGTTGCTCCCATTTTGTGGAATGATATCCCTATGGAGGGATGTGGGTGGCACTGTGGGTTAAACCACAGAGCCTAGGTCTTGCCGATCAGAAGGTTGGTGGTTTGAATCCCCGCGACAGGGTGAGTTCCCGTTGCTTGGTCCCTGCTCCTGCCAACCTAGCAGTTCAAAAGCACGTCAGAGTGCAAGTAGATAAATAGGTACCGCTCCTGCAGGGAGGTAAACAGCGTTTCTGTGCGCTCCTCTGGTTTGCCAGAAGTGGCTACAGCTGCAGGGCAAACCTCAGTGTCAACAGCCAGGAAATGGCAAGGGAAACAGAAATGGTTTGCAAAAGGATCTCTTTGTCAGTGCTTGTCTGGTCTCCATAGGGAGGTGGAGGTAAAGGGACCCCTGACGATTTGGTCCTGTCGTGGCCGACTCTGGGGTTGCGGCGCTCATCTCGATTTACTGGCCAAGGGAGCCAGCGTACAGCTTCCGGGTCATGTGGCCAGCATGACTAAGTTGTTGAAATGGTGTGACTATTTGGATGTTTAAACTGTTGTTTTTTACTGATTTTAATGCTTTAAAGTATATAGTGAACTATTTTGGGATTTTTATGTTTATAACTGAAAATTGGCAAGTAAGTTTTTTAAACAACTAAATAGAACACAAGACCATAATAATTTTCTTGCTGAAGGAAACAAAGGTCTAATCCAGGTTGCCTTTTCTAACCTCAGCCAAATGTTTCTGGGAGCTCACAAGCAGGACATCTCCCCACCCCACTGACTGTGCCCAGTGCCTGGTATTCAAAGGTAGACTCCCTCCGGACATGGAGCTTTACATTTTACATTAGACTTTGTGACTAATGGTTGTTAAGCCCTATCTCTTCTCCGTGAATTTGTCTAATCCCCTTTTAAGCATCTAAACTGGCAGCTGCGTCTTCTAGCAACCAATCCCACAGATTAACAGTTATGGCTATGCAAACACCACACATGAAAAGCACCCCTCATAAAAATATAAAAATATGCCATGGGAACTGTAGTTTGCTCTTTAGGGAGCTAAAATCTATAGTTCCCAGGATTCTTTGGGGAAATAGTGTGCTTTAAATGTCTGGTATGTACACAGCATACATTTTCCAGGAAAAGGTATTTTCCCACTCCCAAATCAAATTAATTGATTGACCAAAACTTCTGAGAGTAGGGAGGAATTACCTCTATCCCCTCCCAAACAATTCAGAAATCTACCATCATCTGTCATCATCGTGGAATCTAGACACATATAAAAAACACTGTGAAAATGCTTTTATAAAAAAAAATATGAAAAATATATTGAATTTGCCATAAGCTCACCATTGCCATCTAGTGTCACATTTGTATAATGCACTTAAAACATTATATTTGCAGCTGTATGGATGAGTCCCATGTCTCCGCATAGCCATCTTTTTTTCTAAACCAAAAGCTTCAAAAACTTTAGCCTCCCTGCTCATCAGTCCTCTATTTGCCCCCCAAAACACTTCCGTCCAGGCCCACACACTTTGTATCCCACAACTAACCATCTGTGTACAGGCATCCCATAGCGAGACTTGATGACACCAGTTTTAGCTGCTCTACCTGGGACTGCAAAATGAGGGAGTGTTTTCAAGAGATGGAGAGGCAGCAATACATGGTTAGTTGGCTGTTGTACAGGCTTGTTTGGGCCTTTCTTCATAGGAGAAATACTGCACCCCCTTGAATGTTTTTAGGCTACAATCCTACATACCCTTACTAGAGAGCAAGCCCCCTTGAACTCAGTAGGATTGAATTCTGAATAGACATGCCTAGGGTTGCACTGTTAAGTCTCTGCAGTCATCTCTTTGGGAATGTGGAGATCCAGGGCAGGCTGAAGTCACCTGTGAGTGTGGACCGTGCATGTTTCATGAGTGTGCAACTCATTCCCAAATAAGTGTGCCTTAGCAAATAAGACAATAGCCTTCTGGAATGCTAAGAATGTGTACCTTTTCCTCAAGGGTAGACAGTCATTTTGGCATTTTGCTGACTCAGTGGCCAGCAAAGCAGCATGTATCAGTTGCATTCTTGCTGTTCACTGACTTTACAGTTGCTCAAGCAAATGGATTCTTTCATTTGTCATTCACTATCAAAGGGTTAAATAATCCAGAAGAGTGGAGGGGGCAGGGTAAGAGCAGCTTGTGAGTCAGGACCAGTTATTCAGTTTTGCTCCTTTGTCTTTTGGCAAGTGACTTTGGCTTAGCCCACTTAGGAATCTACATTCCAAAGGCTTATCTGAGTTTCTTCATTGAAAAAAGCAAGGTGGTCTTGAAGATCTTTGTCATTGTCTGTTTCTTACAGGGTAGGATTTGTGCCACCTATTCAGTGTGTTGTAATAAATGTGGAAGCAATTACTTTGGTAGCTTTTCAGAATACCTGTAATCCCATGATCACCCAGGCATTCCTGTGATCTATGAAAAATGTTTCAGCACAAAGTAAGAAGAGACCAAAATCTTATCTAGTCCAGCATCCTGTTTCTCACAGAGGCCACCAGATGTCTGCGGCAGCCCAAGACTAAAATTATAAATTAATTTGTTATTTGCATGTAATCAAAGTTAAAATTGGAATTCTCTGTTTGACAGGATGGCCAGTGCATTGCTCTCTAAGTCTAAACTATCCCTGCTGCAAAGAAAGATAGTAGATAGAAAGATAAACAGATTGATTGATTTGAACAATGACCACAATCCAGCAAGACTTGTCTGTATTCAGAAAAAGTTTTGCAGACATTCATCTCTCTATAGCACACACACATATGCATGCTGGAGGAAGGGCATTATGATGATTCCTTTCTGGTGGGATTTGTGAGCTGCTTAGAGATTTCTGTTGAAATAGGAAGCCATATATAAATTAATTAAATAAATACCCAGCACTCTAGGTTGCAGCTGACCTGCACTATGTAAGCATTGCCAGAGAAATCCTTGGCAGCACAGTATGATGTTGTTGTTGTTTAGTCATTTAGTCGTGTCCGATCTTTGTGGACCCATGGACCAGAGCACGCCAGGCCCTCCTGTCTTCCAATGCCCGCAGTTTGGTCAACTCACGCTGGTAGCTTCGAGAACACTGTCCTACACCTCGTCCTCTGTGTCATTCCCTTTCCTTGTGCCCTTCCATCTTTCACATCAGGGTCTTTTTCCAGGAGTTCTTCTCTTCTCATGAGGTGGCCAAAGTCTTGGTGCCTCAGCTTTCATGATCTGTCCTTCCAGTGAGCACTCAGGGCTGATTTCCTTCAGAATGGAGAGGTTGGATTTTCTTGCAGTCCATGGGACTCTCAAGAGTCTCCTCCAGCACCATAATTCAAAAGCATCCATTCTTCAGCGATCAGCCTTCTTTATGGTCCAGCTCTCACTTCCATACACTGGGAAAACCATAGCTTTAACTATACGGACCTTTGTTGGCAAGCTGATGTCTCTGCTTTTTAAGATGCTGTTTAGGTTAGTCATTGCTTTTTCTCCCAAGAAGCAGGCGTCTCTTCATTTCGTGGCTGCTGTCACCATCTGCAGTGATCATGGAGCCCAAGAAAGTAAAATCTCTCACTGCCTCCATTTGTTCCCCTTCTATTTGGCAGGAGGTGATGGGACCAGTGGCCATGATCTTCGTTTTTTTGATATTGAGCTTCAGACCATATTTTGCGCTCTCCTCTTTCACCCTCATTAAAAGGTTCTTTAATTCCTCCTCACTTTCTGCCATCAAGGTTGTGTCATCTGCATATCTGAGGTTGTTGATATTTCTTCTGGCGATCTTAATTCCGGCTTGGGATTCATCCAGCCCAGCCTTTCGCATGATGAATTCTGCATATAAGTTAAATAAGCAGGGAGACAATATACAGCCTTGCCATACTCCTTTCCCAATTTTGAACCAATCAGTTGTTCCATATCCAGTTCTAACTATAGCTTCTTGTCCCACATAGAGATTTCTCAGGAGACAGATGAGATGATCAGGCACTCCCATTTCTTTAAGAACTTGCACAGTATGGCCTGCCCTGAAAGGGAAGCTCAGTCCATCTGTGTTTTCCATGTGCTCTTAACAGGTGATCCACAGGTGATCTACCATTGCCGATTGTCACCAAGGAGATTCACAGCATAAGCAAGATTTCTGAGTGCATATTAATTTGCTGGATGGGGAAAGGAGAGCATAAATGTAGCAGGGTGCTGTGCATTCCAATTCATTCCCCATTCTGGTGCAGCTAATCGTGCACTATTTTTAAGAAGAAAAAAACAGACTGGAGAAAGTATGGGTCCTTTTGGCCTCTGCTAAGGGGGATTTTCTGTTATGTTCATGTGTGCCAAAGAAAATGTATCTTGAGTCTATTTTCCAAACAACATGGGTCCAATCCAATCAAAATTAAGCGTCATTAATTTCAGTGCACTCAACTTTCTTTTAAATCAAGTGGTTGGTTTCAATTTCCTCTTGAAATCGTTGTCCGCCCACCTTGGAGATGCAGAGGCCCCTTGGCCCATTTCTCTCTCGCACACCGTTGCAAAGCTGCCCTTGGAGGGCGCGGCCTCGCCACGGAGCCCCTGAGCCCCTGAGCCGGCTGGCACCGGGAGAAAGGGCCGAGCAGAGTCCGGCTGCTCCGCCGGCCCCAACTCGGACCAGCCGGAATGTCTGAGGGGTTTCTGAAGCAGGAGAAGCGCGGAGGCAGCGAGAGGCTTCTGAGGCGCGACTCTGCGCTGCTTCTCCCGGGGCGGGCGAGGCGCCTGCGCGGCTCTTGCGCCTGGGCAGGCCCGGGGCCAGTGGTTCGCCTCGGGACAAAGGGAAGCCGCGGGGACAAGGCAGCGCCGCCTGGCTGGCTGGCTGCGCGGAGCTGGGCGCCCCGGCGTGGCCGGCAGCCCCCGCAGCGGAGCCGGGAGGCAGCCCGTCGGGGCGCCGAGGAGGAGGAGCAGGAGGAGGAGCCCAGGCGCCTCGCTCAGCGCGACCTCTTTCCGTCTCCCCGCAGATCTTCCAGTGGAGGCAGCTGGAGAACCTCTACTTCCGAGAGAAGAAGTTTTCCGTGGAAGTGCACGACCCTCGCAGGTAAGAGCCGGCGGCGGCGGAGGAGGAGGGCCCGGGCTGGGGACTGGCTGCCTGCCTGCCTGCCGGGGCTCTTCCGAGCAGCCCCTTCGCCCGGCCCCGAGCGGGCAGCCTCCGGGCGCGTCGACGGCGCCGTCTTGCTTTTCAGCCTTCGCCTGGGATGGAGCGTGCTGGGAGCTGCTGCTGCCGAACTCTGGGGGATTCCCGGTGGAACCCCATAATATTCCACTTTCAGGCGCAGACACCCTCGATCTCAATGGTTCTTTATTGTGTTTGGTTTATTGCAGTAACAGGGAGGGGGAGAAAATACGTATAGGCTTGATCCTTTCTGTTACTGTAACCCATGCTCTGTCCTTCACACCGTCTTTTCGTTGTTTAATATACTTATTTTTCATCTACTACAGTCCTCTGTAATGTTTCTGTTCGCTTGCGTTCTTCACTCCTTTTACGCTGGTCCTCATTTTGCGTAACATAAGCAACTGCCCAGTGCACAGAAAGCATAATTGTATGGTTGGTGTGTGTGTGTGTGGACTTCATTTTGCATAATCACTACTTTGGTCACTGCCGCTTTATGACAATGTTTTCCAAGGACAAGCTGCTATCTGTAATACAACGTAAATATTTTGTGCAAATTGGTTCCTGCAGAACTAACCTTTCCCCGCTAAAACTTGGCAACTGAAAGCCAGGCTCTGTTCATAGTTCACAGTGTAACTGGAGTGCAGTAAATTTCAATTCTTTCAATTACAGTCTTTCATTTACACCCCCTTTTGCAAATCAGGTTTGTGCTTTTCTGCACAAATGACAGAATCTAGTGCTCCATTCCAGCACAGAGAGATCGGATGTGTGCTGCTGACAATTTATTTGCAAATTGGCAGCCTACAATCTTTTTCATGTTTACTGTACCTTGCCAAGATCTATACTCACGCAGGGTTTCAGTATTTCCACATTAGACACAATAGGCTCTAGATTAGAAATGTGGAAAGCAACAGTTGCCTGGCAGGTATATTTTAATTATATATTTTACATTATGACTAAGGTGCTGGTTCTTCAGAATATTAATTTGAGACACAGTTCACCAAGGCATTTTCCTCTGTAAGCTTGATTGAGTAAATGTAAAGAGCACAGCAGTTTCAGTTGCACAAGAGAAGTTCCAGGTTGACTGTTCCTCTTGTGAATAGCATTAAAAATGAGTGATAGCCCTGCAAACAGCTGATCTGTATACATAATTGGCAACTTCATTGATTTTACCACTTGCCGTCATCTAGGATCAGACCTTTGGGAAGTCAGCTTTATCTATAATAAACATCATATACATTGTAGAAATTTTCTGTTCTGAAACTGTTATTCTACTCTAGCTGCATGTAGTTACACTGAAATAGTCATCAAGCTGAATGAAAAAGCCAAACACCTGACATCTATCCATATATAGAACACTATTACTACTAATTTATGTTACGCTTGGGACCAGTTTTCCTATGAGGTCACCTTTGCTGCACAGATGCCACATAATATATGCACCACATCTGTAAGAACTTGCTCATTTAGTGTGGCAGCAGTGACACTTTGGAACTCCCTGCCTATTGATATCAGGAGGCGCCTTCACTGCATTCTTTTCAGCGCTTCTTATTTAGACACGGCTAGCCAGATGTTTAGACAGTCCGCATGAGTTTTAATTTGTTTTAGCTTGTTCTGTTGTGGTTTTAACTTTATGTGTGTTTTAAATTATGGTTGCAATTTTTAATGTTTTATCTTTTTTGTAAACCGCTTTGATTTTTTCCCTACAATCTTGTGGTAAATACGTTTTATGAGATAAATAAATAAATCAGTCTATCAATTTATGTACAATGAGATTATTAAAACCCTGCTTTGTGCCTAATGAAGAATTCTCTGTATCTCCTAAATCTGTCTGCTCTTTGATCAGCAGAAATGCAGGAGCCTAGAAAAACGTAAGCTGTGGCACTGGGTTCTAGATTCATATATCAAAGAGTATAATTCAAAAAGAAAAAATTCTAGTTCTTAGGGCTGCAAAGATAGGCTTGAGGGTGTGGGCTTAAGTTAGCGCTAGAATTGCCGAGTTGGAAGGGACCACGAGGGTCCTATAGTCCAGCCCCCTGCAATGCAGGAATCCTTTTGCCCTTTGCTCAAACCCATGGTGCTGGGATTATGAGTCTCATGCTCCACTGACTGAGCTACTCTAGTTCCATATCCTGTTTCCGGTAATAGGCAACCTCAGGTCACGTAGAGTTCGCAAGCAGCAGGGCACAAAGGTGAGGGTCGTTGCCTGTTGCTGGTCTGGACACTGGGGGTACACTGCCTCTCCACATGGAGGTTCCATTTAGCTGGCAGGCCCATTGGTAGCTCTGCTCTCCGTCATGATCCTGTGCTCCTGTGATAAATCGCAGTGTCCCACAGGCAGAGGAGCCTGTGCCTGTTTGCCTATGTGCCAACGAAGTGCTGTCTTTGTGTGCAGAGTTTCGAGGTGCAGCCAAGGTCCAGAACCCTTTTGCACATGCAGCAACAGTTACATCTTAGGCTAGGGAGGAGGGAATAAGTTATACCACTCTTTTGGCATAAGAAGCGACTGTGTACCTTGGCAGGTGCTAACTGAAATATTATTCAAATTATCTCGCCAGCGTTTCTGGCTCCTGGACCCCTTTTTTCCACACTGTCTGGTTCTTCCATTTTCCTGTCTTATCCACCCCTCCTATAACCTCCACATTACCTTTTTAATTTATATATATATAATTTTTTCCATGTCTCCTGTGTCTTCATGTCTAATTTTCTTGGGAAACTCAAATTCCAGTCCGTTTAATGATCCGATTTGGTGCAGGGAATAAAGCTGAAACCATCCCAAATGTAACCGTTGTCATGCTGCAATGAAGAGCCAAGTCGGGGGTGGCAATTTTATTGCTGAATATGGGGGGGGTCCCCCATCTCTACAATAGTTGCTGGCTTAATTTCAACCTCATTTTGTCAACTGCCTTTTCCTTCATGGTAACTCTCCCCATCTGGAAAACAGAAACAAAATGAGAGATAATTCCAAGCATTTACAGGTTAGAGCCCCAATCTTAAACTAATTTATAAGGGTGTCAGTCCTATTGAACACAGTGGGATTTATTTCTGAGTAAAAATGCTTAGGATTGCTGTGTTGACATTCAAATAAAATTAAAGTTTAGCTAAGTGGGCAACAAGATAGTCTAAATTCCAACTTTCCCAGAAGTCCACCCCTTTCCCCCTGTCACTCTCCCACTTACTGAGAGTTTCCATGTAGGCACTATTAATTTTAAGTTTGTTATTTATTAAATTTCTATGCCACCCCTCATCTGAGGACCACAGGGCAGTTTACAATATAAAAACACAAAAATACATAACATAGTAAGAAACAAAAACATATGAGCCGACCTTTTCATAGAGAACTGCTGGAGAAGTTCAGTTGCTGCTTTGGAACTCTCTATCTGTCTGAAAAGCAGGGCAGAGACCTATGAAAACATCGAATCAACATTCTGTATTTCAGAAGCAAATAATTTTTATATGGTTATCCCATCAATGCAGAGTCATATGAACCATGTGTGTTGATAACAATACTTAATACACTATTGGCATCTAATGAATGCTAAATAGCAGAAAAATCAGCCCAACTTGAATTGAAACTCCATCTCAAATTTGTGAGAGACAAAGATACCTGGCTCTTTTAAAAGCGGAGCCTCACATGGCTGAAAACATGCTATTGGCAGTTTAAAAAATAACCAAGTGCCTCATGACATAAATGCTGGAGCTCTGGCTTTGGTGCTCAGGCAGGTGGGTGGGAGGTTTAGTTCAGTTTTTGGGTGGGAGGTTTAGTTGAGGTTTTGGGTGGGAGGTTTAGTTGAGGTTTGGGTGGGAGGTTTAGTTGAGGTTCAATGAGACTTACCTCTGTGTAGACGAAGGTAATATTGCAGCCTAAATTACTCTCATCCCTGGTGTGGCTCGTTGTTTCAGTTGCTCAGAGATCCCCTATACCTATCCCCTTAACGGTTTTCTGCAAAATGATTGAATGCAGATCTTTTGGAGGCGGGTCAAGATTGGCTGCACTTCTCTTTTCAAGTTACAAGTGAATTGTTTGTTCTTTTCCTGCTCTCCCAGGGCATCTGTGACTAGAAGGACTTTTGGACACAGTGGCATTGCTGTGCACACGTGGTATGCCTGTCCTGCCTTGATAAAGTCCATCTGGGCTATGGCCATTAGCCAGCACCAATTCTACTTGGACAGAAAGCAGAGCAAAGTAAGATTTTTAATTTTTATTACATTCACAAAACAGGTGTTACATAAAGACTACGGTTATGCACAAATGAAAGTATATGCGCCAAATACAATCAGAAATCAAAGTATATGTAGAAGTCTGGACACAACACCGCAGCTCCAGTAGCACAGCAGACGTCTGCGCATGCCCTCTCCAGACCCTGCAGATCAGATTTTTGGGGCAAACGGGGCAAGGAGAGGAAACGGACAGTCCCATTGCATGAGCAAAATCCTGGCTGCACAGCATTCAGTGCAATACCAATAAAGAAGCAAAAGATTTCAATAGAAGGCTATATCTTTTTTATGAAATGATGATTCCAGTAATTTACAAATGAGGGCCATCTTTTCTTGATATCTAAAGCAACCATTTGATAACTAGGTCGGTTTCTCCAATGAATTTAAGAAGAGCTTGGTGGGTCAGGCCAACAGCCTTCTAGTCAGCGGCAGAGCAAGTCTCCACACCACCCGGGGTGGGTCAGTGTGCACGTGCGCATGCACACGCCAGGGGCAGCGTGAGGGGTGGGGGACAAATGGAAAACACCCCCCGCCCAGGCCCTGCTGCCATGGGAGCGACACCTGCTGGGAGGGACATGGCCGTTGTATCCTCCTGGCACGAGGCTGGCATTGAAGAGCGCACAGTTGGTGCGTCCCCACACCGTCCCAGTACCTTGCTTGAATTCTAGTTCCAAATAAATATATCAAACTAAATAAATAATTTCTTCAGTTTCAGTAAGGCAGTTCTTACAAATACATGTACACTCTGCATTAAGTCTTGTAGCAAATGGCCCTGCAACTTCCCTTCATGCTGAGACATGCATAAGAGACCTCTAAACACTCTGAACTCTTCCACCGCTGCTCATGGTCTGCTTTGCCTATCGTGGAAATTTACAGGGCACTGGGACTTTCTGAGAGAAGGCCCCCAGGCGCAGAATTCTTGCTGCATTAACTTCTTCCCAATACTGAGAACCATTTCTGGTCATGCAAGTTTTAAGAAACAATATGTCCATATAGACTTGCACAGATTCTCCTTAGATTATTTTTTCTTATGGACTTTCTTCAGCTTTATGATGCATTTTTTTACAATGGGTGTTGCTGACATGTCCTGGGTCCATTTCAAATAACAGAAGATGCCGTATTTTTTGCTCTATAAGACTCACTTTTTCCCTCCTAAAAAGTAAGGGGAAATGTGTGTGCGTCTTATGGAGAGAATGCAGGCTGCGCAGCTATCCCAGGAGCCAGAACAGCAAGAGGGATTGCTGCTTTCAACTAGAATATGACAAAGAAATGAGACTTCTTTGTTTAAAAGTGACTAGCACAACAGAGAGAAAGCTTTACAATATTTAGGCCGGCAGCTTCTGCCCCCCTTTGATTCCACTGCAGGCCCTGGGAGCCCAGAGGGGACAGAATGCTGAGGATGAAGAGGATTCTCAGGCAGGTGACATGTGTCCTGTAAGGAAAATAAAAGTGCAAAAAGAGAAAAGAATCAAAAGCATGGAGGAAAGTATATCCATTCTCCTGCAAGTTAAAGCCATAGGAATGTCAAGAGTGCAGCCAACTCTGTATATTCAGAAGTTTTCTAACATTTCAGGGCTTGGTGGTGTTTCTGAATGGCTGTGGTACTAAAATGTCTGGCAACAGATTGTTCAAACTTTTTCTTTCTTCACAATTGCTGACTTCTGAAACTAGTTCTAAGGGCTATACAAGATGCTTAGTAAATGTTACAGTTATAGCACAAGGAGGAGGTGCTGCTTTTTAAAAAAATGTAGGTTCTTTTGAGGTAGTTTTTGTTGTTGTTACAGATGTGTTTGATTATGAGGAGCAAACGGCAGACGCTATTTTTCTTTATGTCACTTGGGTGGCAGTTTAAGTAAAAGTGAGCATCAGGGAGTTTATTGTACAGATTTAACTGTATTGTTTTGGTGGATAAAAGGAATGTCCAGGAATGGGCTGCATACATATTTGATTATTGTGCTATAGTGGCAAGTTTGGTTATTGGACAGATAGAGTTGGCACAGTCCTTGGGTTGCTCCAAACTTTCTTCATCACCGATTCAGATTACATTGGTACCTCGGTTTAAGAACAGCCCTGTTTAAGAACTATTTGGTTTACGAACTCTGCAAAACCGGAAGTAGTGTCCAGGTTTGCAAACTTTAGCTCAGTGTAAGAACGGAATCTGAACGGTGGAAGGGCAGCGGTGGTGGGAGGCCTCATTAGAGAAAGCGCGCCTCGGTTTAAGAACAGTTTCGGTTTAAGAACGGACTTCAGGAATGGATTAAGTTTGTAAACCGAGGTACCACTGTACAAAGATGACCTCAGTGTATTGCTATCCTGTGACTAAGTCATAAGTTGTCTTTGAGGAATGCCTTGCTCACATTTGTCCATAAATGCAGGGGCTTTGTGAGAACTCATGATGAATCACTCTGGGGTCTGCTGTTTAGAAATTGCTTTGCAGTCTGTTGATCTGTGACAAGTACAGTACAACATTATCATCAAACTGATGCTACTTAGATGCTAAATAGAATATCATTAATACTGAAATCTCTTTAATTTTTAGTCACTTTTTAAAATTTAAAATTTAGTAACTTAGCTTTAAATTTTAAAGTAAGCCCATCATATGACATATCATAGTAAAGCTCATGAAGTTCTGAAAAGATCAACATTTTTAGTTTTGAAATATCTCAATTCTGGGCTGAATCATTAAGGTTTTTGTAGTCTGGCAAGGCCAAAATTGTCTTTGTTTTGGAATTCAATCCCTCATAACTTAACAATGGGATGAGATAAAAAAATAAAATAGATTTAAACTTAGTTTTGATCATTCAACAAGTGTACAAAATATTAAGAAAATTGGATGATATGAGGTAAAAAAAATTGGATCACTTGATGACCTTCTACTTCTGCTCTTGCTTTTTTTGAAAGGTTGTCCTAAGTGGGTAGTTCACTTAATAGTGATTCTGGTAACAGGTGGAAATTCTTAAGATGGGGGTTTTGTCTGATGGTTGCTATACCACAGATTTCTGCTTTCTTTCCTCCAGTCCAAAATTCATGCAGCAAGAAGCCTGAGTGAGATTGCCATTGACCTGACTGAAACTGGAACTCTGAAGACCTCCAAACTAGCCAATATGGGAAGCAAAGGAAAGATCATCAGCGGCAGCAGTGGGAGCCTTTTATCATCAGGTATGTCCCTTGGTGTTGCAGAGTTAAAGGGAAGTGCAGATGACAAGTAGTTTCTGGGCATTTGAGTCAAGTGTTTCGGACTGGAGTCATTGTTCATGTTGTGTAAAATGTTGAACTGCTTGCCGCATTTGGGAAGTCTAGATCAGGGATGTCCTCTCCCAAAGAAGCTAAACAACTCTGGGAAATCCACCCACCCACCCACCCCACGCATGCTCTTCCTCCCAACGACAATTAGTAGATCACTGCCAGTTTTTTTATACTGGGAGTAGATCACAGTCTCTTGGGAGTTGGACGTGCCTGGTATAGATTGTAGTTGTGAGACGGCAACAGGACCAGGAGCAGCTTCCCAGCAATGTCTGCCTCTCCCAGGAGTGGTGGCCGTCTGCCAGAGTTGCCTCATTTTGTAGCGCTTGTTATGGGAGAATGCCTGCCAAAAGTGATGGCTCAGAGATCTTGTTTGCTTTTCAGCTACTGACACCAACCCTTGGTGTATATGACTTCTCAAAGCAACAGAAACCTCTACTCATATGGAACTTCCCCTTTTCTCTGCATGTCTGCTTCTATGAGCCTTGGATTTTCATTGCATATGGAGATATTTCTTTTTTTTCTTTTTAAAAAATCACACTTACTTTTAAAGAACTGGGGCAAGGCCTGTTGCCCCCCCCCCCCCATTCAAGAAAAAGTACATCCCACCAAGAGTAAGAAAAAACATCATGATGGTGAACAGCATAAAGCCAACCATGAAACTAAATTTATAAACAAATCCTAGAACCATTAAAACATCAGTAATAACAACAGAAAAAACATAGTTCACTTTCTTTTTGGACATCCATGCCTCTGATCTGTGCTCAGAGGCAGGCATGTTCTTGCCCAGCTGATGCACAAGTGCTTTTAGAAGCACATTTACAGGCACATTGTGGTGCTCACATGGGTCCTGTGAACTGACAGGTTTTTTGCAGATGGAATCATGTGCCTCCATTGGAGATGGATCAGGACCATAATTTTCCTTCATAGTGGTCCTGGGTTTATTAAATGCCTGTCTGAATAGAAAATCTTAGAATACCATTGATGCTGGCTGTAGACTGATCCACACTGGCCTTAAAACGGGCGCTATCAGCCTAGAAGGCAGCATCGCCTCACTCAAGAGCGGAAATACCAAATTGCCAAATACAGCAAGCCCACCTTGATTTCCCTCCATAACATGCCGTGGTGGAAATGCATGTCAATGGGCTCATCACACATTTCTCTTTCTCTGGTCCACATAATTGGCTGCTGTGAGAGGTTGTGTGACACGATGTGATAATGTCATGACATGTGTTTCTTGCTACAAATTATTGGGGGAGGAAGAAGACTAGGGGCTTCCCATTTTTGTGTGAAAATTTGTGGTGTTCTTCACATTCTGTTCATTCCTCAGCCTCTCGCAAGTTGCCTTCATGAGCATGTTTCACATCTGGCTGCCAGCCTGGCTCCCTTTTGGCAAATCCAAGGATTCATACATTGCATTTTAGCCTTGGTTCATGTTATACAGAACTTGCTTTGATAATTTGTTAAAACAAAATTTTGAAAATAAAGTTTTTGATCAAAGTGAAATACGATCTGAAAATCATGATCCTATGACACACACAGCTTTCCTGCGGGATAGATTCTGCAAACAAATTAGCAATGCCCCAGCCAGACAAATTCTGAGTGATTTTTGTCTGAACATAAGAGTTAAGTGGCAATAGATATCTGTATTCCAGTTTTACTATATTTTGTACAGAAAATCGATACTAGAATCGGTCCACAACCAGCTGTCAGAATGTAAGAGGCTCTAAGTCTCCACTCGCCACTTTTTATCAAGGGAAGCCTTCCTGCTTTATTGAGAAGCCTAATGTGGAACACATGAGACAAAGGCTGGGCGGCAACCAGAGCCAAGAGTAGAAGGTCTGTTTCTAATTCTGTGTCTGCCTGACTTAGCTTCATATTTTGTCCTGTCCACAAAATGGCAGTGGTTGTATTTCTGAAGGAAATTCTGTAGGGCACAATTCTTTGATATTCTCAAATGATATACGGTTCTGCAAACACAAAGTATTAGAATATTACAGGGGGTCTCGTATACGTACCTCCCTACGCACACACACACACAGAGAGAGCGAGAGAGAGAGAGAGAGAGAGAGAGAAGTGTGGAAGATGTTTTACGGTCTTGTGAAAGATCTACAGTAATAGAAATATGCTGCACATGACTCCTGTTCTGCTTGTGATTATAGAGGGAAATGTGCCCACTGGGAGTACACCAGCTCACCAATGGAATTTGTATTAACCATCAAAGATCAGCAAATCCTTAGAATTTCATCCTTGCATAGTTTCAAAATACACACTGGTCCTACCTTGGAAAAGTTCAGCAAAGAATTACACTTCCAAGGTACATTAGCAGAGTGGTACCAGAAGGGCTCCCACAAACACCCCTGCATTTTTTAAAGAATCATTTGCTGGAATAGCAGTGGCTGCAGAGCTTCTGATTTAGTCTCCGGGGGGGACGGGGACGGGTGTTTATTTGTTAATCTTCCCCTCCCCCACCCTGGACTCTTTAAATTAGATAAGTGAAGCCCAGGAAATACTCAGTGTGTCCATCTGGAATTCCTGTGCTTGTGGGCAGCATTCCTGCATTTATAAAAGTTACATACCAGTTGCAGTGTTCCTTTTTTACGTGATTGCATTAACTTTGTGTCCTTGGGCAGAAGGTGGCATGATGGTGGCTGCGTGTCTTCAAACCTGCATTGCTCCCCAACCCCTAATGCAACTGGGTGGACAGCAGGAAGCTGGCGAGAGACAATGAACCTTTCCTCTTTTTGCTACCTTCTTCCCTGTAACTCCTCTCCTAAAGTCATCATCTCCCAGCAGGGTTTATTTCCAGGTAGGGCAGGAGTAGGAGATCGTGGCACAGTACCAAGTTTGTCCTATGAGATGGCTTCCCCCAAACTATGCCCACCTTGCCCACACCTGACGGCATATGTGGGGCAGGTAGAGATGTGGCTGGATCAGCTTCCCAACTGAGTTTTCTGACTGTGCAACCGATCCCTGCCAAAAGCAGAGCTGAACTCACTGCCCATAAGCTGAAGACTGGTGAGTTCAGAAGCAGCAGGATCCCTGGGGGAACTGCTGGATCAGTGGCATGACTCAGTTTCCCGTGGTGGACTGCGCAAGAGACTTGGGTGGGTGTGCGGGACTGACAGGTAGGTTATCCTGCCCACCTGCCAAAATGAGCCCGTGGGGCTGGGGGCAGAATCAGATAATGACCTGGTCAAAAACCTTCCTTATTCCTCAGCTATCTGGGGAGAGTGTTTGCAGAGGGGAAAGCAGTGGGTGGTAGAAAGTTCAGCACTCGCCCACAGACAGCCACTTTTGTGTTTGAAATCACCCAACCCTTTAGGCCACAATTGGTGCATTGAAAATGAAGGCCTGTTGCTATCATGACTCATTCTGCCCTGACATTGGCTAATTTCAGAACTTAAAGTGCTGACTTTGTCATCTGACCCTGGCTTTCGGTTTGTGGGGTCATGGGTAGACTTGCTGGGTATTTGGGGGGCTGTTGTGCTCCCCAGAATTTAATGGCTTGATCAACAGAACGAAGGTGCCAAAAGTGAATTGTTGGTCTGTCTGCATTGAGCATGTACACTAGTGAAATGTAAGAGCCAAATTGCCTTCTGAACTTTAGTTCAACGAAGACCCACGTTTAAAGAGAAATGCCTGCAACTGGCATTTGTATTGTGAAATTCATGGAATGGTTGATTTTGTGATGTGTTGTTCTCCCTCTTATAGGCCACTTTGAGATTAGTTTTTTCCTGTGGAAAGGTGGCATACAAAGAAAGTGAGGGTGATGATGTACACCTCCAGCTGTGTGTCCCGCCATGAAATACAACAGTGGAAATCTGATCCATTTGAATAATGCCACTTTCAAGTTTAAACACAGTAAAATAAACTCATATGCTCCATTCAAAAATTGTGGCACTGTGTGTGCGCACTTCCATTTAAACTTGGGCGCTTTTATGAATGGTTTTAAAAGATAATTAATTTCTGAACTGGCTCGATAACTGTGGCTGTCTTTGCACATTGCAGCATATGGGGAAGACGTGCCAGGTGACCAGTGCTTCCTCCAAGCACGGTTTCTTCTGGTGGAGAGAGGTGGTTGTTCTCTCCTCTGCAAATGATGTGGTGCGTCAGGTGCAAGCCCCTCCCCCTCCCCCCATGGAGCAGAAGCGCAGTGAGAGAAAACTCTAGGAATGTGGAGCCTGTCATTTCTCCCCCATGCAGGTGGGAAGTGGGAAGAGGATTCACTTTTGAGCAGAATTTACCTGCTTGAACAGAGTAACACCTTGCACTGCATTTTGTTCAGTTCATTCAGCTGTGTGAGTGTGGCCGGGTAGACACATTCCTTGCATTTGCCAGAATGAGAAGAGTGTTTTATTGGTGAAGCTGGCAGTCCTTCTTACTGACCTAGATTTTACTGATGACAACATCCCAGATCAGCAAAATGCTGGGTAGAACGAAATGCTTAGTAATTAACACTACCGAAGAAAGTTTATTCCCTTTAGTATTTAAGGAACACTAGAAAAAATACCCTATGATTTGGAAGCCACTATTGGGGGGAAACTCTTACGCTTGAGAAGCGAATTGGGCCAAAATTCTGCACAGGAGCATACCAGCAAGGAGCCCTTTTGTCTGGAAAAAATACATGTGTTCACTGGCAGAGGAAGAGGGGAGCGGGGAGCACACCACCCCCGGCAGCGCAATCCCAGTGGGGTTCCAACGCGGCTCCCCCGCACTGGGCGCCCCACCCCCACAGGCGGCGCGCCACGCCCCCCAGAACGCGCTCCAGCCCCGGCCCCGCCTGCTCTCCGCCACTGCATGTGTGCTGCCTATCTGCCCACTCACCTGGGTGCTGTCCTTACAGAAGCCCCCTTTTGGGGAGGAGGCATAGCTAGCTGTCCTGGTATTATTTGCAAATACAATTGCTACTCCTT